TTTTTTGAGCTTCTGCATAACGTCGTTGTGGCGAACCTCTAGCCTCTCCGCGTGCCTTCCAATGGCAACAGGTCCATGGCTGAGTATAAGAAGAATGTTCGAAAGCGTCTCATTCTTTTTGGACCACCTAAACTTTGTATTGTTGCAATTTGTGGTACTATCTCACCTATCCCTTTCTTGTTTAAGAGACAAATCTCTTCCAATGAGCTTGCAGGTAGCGGGCGGCATGCCTAAATCCTACCGGGATTGCGAAAGATGGATGTGCCCTCTCTTGATGAAGGTATAGTTATGTATTGATTCTCCTGTACGTAAGTGCTCAATTGCCCTTTGTATGACAGCGACGTCAGCTTTAAAGACGCTGCAATAGTCTCGGGTAGGCGAAATGATTTTTCCAGCCCCAGTTGGGGTGACAAGACCCCTCTCCTACCTTTCCCTCTAGTTTAGCATCATCGGTGTAGAAGTGGAGTGATCCCATTTCATCAGTATCCTCTCCAGACCAAAATATGCTATCTGGAATGGACATCTTATACCTCATTGTGAAATTTAAACTTGGTACAGAGTAATCCGTTCCCGATTGCAGTGTGGCTATCCTGAGTGTTTTCCCAGCCGGACAATTTCCAATGTCTATTTGCACGTTTTGAAATGCTTCAGATGTGGATTTCTCGCCGAAATTTGGCCACCATACCAATATCCAGTACAGCAGAATAGGCCTAAAAACCACTGTGTAAAGTCAGTGCATTATGCTTTGGGACAGCTCCCATCTACGGCCATTTGGAACTTTACAGCTGTAGAGGGCTAACAACGCGTCTTGTACACATCGTGCCTAGATATTCCGCAGATTCCCCTAGCTTCAGCGTCGTGGTGCCTATGGCAGGGAGATGCAGTGAAAGTATTTTGTAATTTCTTGTAAAGAGAACCAGGTTAGTTTTGACTAGGTTAACACCCTAGGGTCTCTTTTTGGTCCATCTTTCAATTAACCTTAGTCTGCCCTGCATGATATTACACAGAGTTTGTGGAGATTTTTCGCACCACCGCAAGGCCGTCAGCGTACGCAATGACCTTAGAGCTCTCCCCTTCCAGGGCCTGCTACAAATCGTGAATTTCCAAACCCACACAAGAGGAGACACAACCCCACCCCTCGCGGTTCCCCTGCAACTCTGCCTAGTAGAAACGATTTCGTGTAGCGCTGCTTCGGCGGAACTTCCTTTCATATAGGCTTACAGGGATGCCATAAGTTTGTTTGCAACTGATTCCCTGAAGAGGAATTCAATCAGTCGCTCCATTATCTTGAACTGGAGGCATGCTAGACTAATAGCCCTAAAGTCTTTCGGGTTAGTGTAGGATGTTCTTCCTGACTTTGGGTTGAAACGAACCCTCGGCATTTTCCAGATCTCTGGAATGTAGTTGGGAGTGTGAACTCCTTTGAAAATACCACCAGCCAATCTGGGCTTAACTCCAAATATTTCTGCAGCTGAATCAGTGAAACACCATCTGAACCCACAGATACATAAGGCTTAAATGATCTTTTTCCCCCCAAATTAGTTTTTCTTTGGTAAGAAGATCCACCGTAATTGGATGACCTCTTTCTGTGGCAAGGGTCCAGAGATTCCTTCCCAGTTTCCATACACGTATCATCAGATCTTTGCAAGCTTCCCGGGGCGGCTCAGAGTGAATTGGAGCCTAGACCTATCTGATACAGATTCCAGCCCACTGCAAAACTTCCTCCATGAGGATCTATGCATTTGCTTAATAGCTTCTTTTAATATCTTAAGTTTAACTTAGAGATTACCATCGCGTACTTAGCAAGATTAAAAGCCCTTCGACAGGATTTACGGGTCTCATCTATCTCTGAGCACTACTAGGGTGGTTTCGTATTGCATATTGGCATTCTCATGGGGCAGGCCTGATCCAGAGCCTTGCCACATCTCACCGTGAAATGATTGACCAAGTTATCTAGATCTGTATGGTTCCCTGGTATTGAATACGTCGTTTCTTGCAAAGCATATTCCTATACTTATGCCAGTCGGCGTTTTTTAAGTTTGTCATGAAAAGCGACTTGGACGGAACCCCCTAAAAGAGAAATTGTACGTAGCGATAGTCAGAAAAGGAGTGCTCACCAACCAACCTCCAGCTTCTGACCACAGCTTCCGCATCCTCTGAGACGAGGGTTACGTCCAGGACCTCTTTCCTGCTTCTGCTTATAAAAGTGGGCTCTACTACTTATTTATGACTACAGTTGTTCTAAGTTTGAATTCAAAAAGTAAATCACCTCGTTCATTGATGTTCCCATTTTTCCGGGTGCTGTTATGTGCGTTCGCAGCACCTCCCAGGACCAAAACCCCTTCCCAGCGTGCCACCATTTGTGCGACCGCTGTCGTTGGGGATTGGCGTGTCATTGTCCAGGTACATGGCTATTACCCTGACCCTTTGTCATTATATATCTCATAAAAACTTTTTGTGTTATCCGGGTTTATCTCAAAGTGGGCTATATCGCCCTCACACCAAGCACGAAACTCAGAGCTATTTAGGTGCGTAAAAAAAAAATTTGAATTAGGTTATTAAGATGCGCAGCAAATGTAAATTGTAGTAAATTATTTTTGAGCGGCTTTTAAAAATAATTTTTCTTACAAAAGAAACGCACGGGCGGTGAACGAAACAAGTGCTTTAGCAAAACGACACAGATGCTTACTCCTTTTACTGCTTACTGCTGCTACTTACGGTTGTATAGTGAATGTTAGTCTGTCCACCAAAATTTTTCCCTTTTGTATTAGACCCAAGTTCTCGCAAATAACTGTATAGTAGTTGCGCATTCGTGGTTTCTTTGCTTGTACTTTTATCGCTTCCGCAGTAACACTGTCCACTTCAGTAGGTTCGCTGGCATGTCGTCGCTTATGATCATCCAAAGCTCGCTCACTTTATAAATAAATTGCAAAAAAATTGTTTTTTTTTTCAGGCGCCTAGTAGAAGCAGCAGTTAGTAAATACTCACGAATTGTCGAAGGGAACTACATGCGTGAAGAAGTGTCTGCATTCATAAATCATAATTCCAAGCCAACTGAGCGCAGTGATTACATAAAAGTACTTGGCATCTTCTTCTACTTGTAGTTTTTTGTTCTCTAAATGTAAAAACCAA